AGAGAAGGAAACTGGGAAAACTGGGGATATGTGAGCTGCTAGGAGGAAAGAAATAGTGTGGGGAGGAGGCGTGAAGACAGTGAGGTAGTCCCTGTAAGTTCTTGCAGGTTCCCCACCATGTAACTGAGGACTGGTAACATACAACTGTGCCAGATGTTTTTTGGGGAGAGGTTGCCAGGGTGAGATAAGGAGAGAAAGCAGAAGATGGGGGGCAGAAAAAGGTTGGTTGGCTGGTGGGTGGGTGGGAAGGAGAAGAGGAAGCAGAAAAAGGGGAGAGGCTATGGGGGTTTTCAGGGAAGACAAAGAGGAAATTGTGGGGGAAAGGGAAATGAGATGTTCCCCACAAATCCTTATGAGTCTCCCACATGCCAGTATATCCAGGGGTCATTTCATAGAAAAAGAGCTGCAGGAGCTCATTAGCATAAGGTATGCTAATAAGCTACTAGGCTATTAGCATAATAGCTCATTAGCATGTGCCACACCCCTTGATGTCACTGGAAGTGATGTCAGAAGGGGAAGCAAAAGGGGGGGAAGGCATCTTCAAAAGCCTCCCCTTCCCCAGCCAGGGGGGGGGGCGGGAGAAGTGAAGAGTTTAAGTTTAAACTCCAGAGAGAGAGTAGAGAGGAGGAAATAAGGGAGGAAAGAGGGAAAGAAACAGAAGGAAAAGGAGGGCAAGAAAGAGAAGGGAAGAAGGAGGGAAACAGGGAAAGGAGGAAAAAAGAGAAGAAGGCAGGAAAGAAAGAAAGAGGGGAAGAAGGAAGGAAAGAGGGAAAAGAGAGAAGGAAAGGAGGAAAATAGAGAAAGGAAGGAAGGAAAGGGAAAAAGAGAAAGGAAAGGAAAGGAGGGAAAGAAAGAGGGCAAAGAGATGGGGAGAGGGAGAAAGGCTCTCCCACCCTCCCATCAACCCACCACCACCCCTGTGGATCCCTCATGCGGATCCTTTACCGTGATCAAGGCCTTTCCCAGGCCACAGCACTCTGGCACGGGCCCCGGGAGGCCATCAATGGGCCTCCTCAGACCTCCCCTGGTCTGCAGCACTGGAGCGCGGGCCCTGGGAGGCCGGCGACAGGCCTCCTCAGGCCTTCCCCGGGCCGCAGTGCTCCAGTGTGGGCCCCGGGAGGCTGGCAATGGACCTCCCCAGGCCTCCCCTGGGCCCCAGAAGGCCAGCGATGGGTCTCTTCAGGCCTCCCCCAGGCCACAGCACTTCGGCGGGGGAGCTGGAGGCGGGGCTTGCTGCCACCACCAGTTGTGCCAGCTCCTGGGCTGCTGGAGCAGTGCTCCGGCCCCAAATGACCCCAGAATATATCTAATTGTCAACATGGCAAAATCTGTTGATACTTAAATCTAGAGGCTGAAGCCAGAGCAGACAGATCTTTCTACAAATCTGAAAAAGTTGGGCTTACTGAAAAGTCTGAACTCTTAAAAAAATGCATTGCAGGGTTAATCCTACAAAGCCCCCCCCCATAATAGAAGCAACACCTGTACTTTAAGTAACAATCCCCTCTGCAGTGGCCATTGTGGAGGTTACTAGGCAATCACAGTAGCTTTCCAGACTTGGTTTCTGTCAGCAAAAGATGGGGGGGAACTTTTCAGGGCTGTTTTAGCCTCTGACAGAGGACTTATTGGGACCAGGTCCACTAGCAACCACTAGGTGACTTGTTACCACCTGATTTTGCATGACTCATCCAGGACTGGGCGCTTGCTACTGTTTAACAGCAGCCACCCACCAAAAGCCAGTGTGGGGTAGTTATTAGAGTTTCAGACTTGGATCTGGGAAACCTGGGTTCAAATCACCACCCTGCCAGGGAAGCTCACTGGATACCTCCAGGCCAGTTACATATTCTCAGCCTAATCTACCTCACAGGTGAGGATAAAATGGAGATGGGGATAATGATATAAGCCATTTTGCATCACCATTGTTGATAAAAGTGTTCTATAAATGAGGTTAAAAAAATAAGCATAGCTGAAGATAGGGGACAGATAAAGGACAGTTGGGTAGGAAGGAGAAAAGGAAGCAGGGAAAAGTGAGCTTATGCGGGCTGCCAGGAGGAGGACAAGAGGAAATAGTGTAGGAAGGGGAATACAGGGGAAAGTGGGGTATCCCCTATTTGTATGTAATTTAATGTTTAAGGAAGTGTCTTGTGACATTTCTAAGGCTGTGTACTCAGACATGAATTAATCAAAATCTGAAGTCTTGTGATTTATCACTATAACTATTCAAAATTTGACAATTAGAGCCAATAATACTTGGATTTGTTTGGAAGTGATGGGTGAAGTGGTAACCCAGGGACCTGGGATTGTTGAGCCAGCACTGACAGCTGCCCCACACCTGGAAACCAGCTGACTGGCAGAAACAGGTGTTGTTGTTGTTGTTCAGTCGCACAGTCGAGTCCGACTCTTCGCAACCCCATGGACCAGCTCCCACCAGGCCCTCCTGTCTTCCGCCGTCCTCTGAAGTTCACTCAATTTCATGTTCGTTGCATCTATGACACTGTCTAACCATCTATCCTTTGCCGTCCCCGTCTTCTTTGACCTTCAGTCTTTCCCAGCATCAGGGTCTTCTCCAGTGAGTGCTCCCTTTTCATTTGGTGGCCAAAGTATTTGAGCTTCAGTTTCATTATCTGGCCTTCCAGGGAACAGTCAGGGTTGATTTCTTATAGGATTGACTGATTTGATCTTCTTGCAGTCCAAGGGACTCTCAAGAGTCTTCTCCAGCACCATAGTTCAAAAGAATCTATTCTTCAGCGCTCGGCCTTCCTTATAGTCCACTCTCGCAGCCATACATGACTACTGGGAATACCATTGCTTTGACCATGCGGACTTTTGTTGGCAGGGTGATGTCTCTACTGTTTATCATGCTGTTTAGGTTCGCCATCGCTTTCCTCCCAAGGAGCAGGCGTCTTTTAATTTCATGGCAATTAGCAAGGGATGTGGGCAATGTGGGGAGATACTCAGGGTGGTGGTGGACTAGGAGCAGCCTGGGTAAGGGTAACTGCAAGTCTGTTGCTTTGTATAGCACTATATAGGAAATGTCATATGTACTCTGCAAGCAATCAAGCAAACATAAATACTTTACACAGTGCCTGTAAACGAGTCTTCCCTGGTAGGAATAAAAACAGTTTACTTCCTTTTGGGGAAATGGCTGAAGAAAGGGTTTTTAAAAAAACAAACAAAACAAAAAACCCTGTCCTTCTCCATCTCAGAACTGCAGCTTTAATGACAAACTGTACAATTTCTGAGAAGTCTAACCCAATTTGATAAGGTGGGAAAAATTTACAGCTGGAAATGCGGTTCTCATTGAAACATAATATGGAACTGAATAAATCAACAGATTTAATAATGAATTTAACTAGCCAAGGTCCTGGTCAGAAGTGCCGGAAAACGCGGGGGGGAAGCGCGGCTATTTGCGCCGTCGCATTCTGATGCCCCATTATGCGATCAGATGCGACAGCGGCTTCCCCGCAGCAAAGAGGACAATGGGGGAGAAAGCCAGGCAATGGCGCGATCACACCCAGGGAGTCTGCATGCAGCCCGTGGCAAACCATTTGTCAGTAGGTCGTCCCAGGTACTTTTTTAATGTGCATCTTTGGCAGGACGCCACGGGTTCGCCACAGGTGCACTACGCCTCCCAGATGTTCCAGTGTGATCGAGCCCGGAAAATCTGCGGGACTATCGTGCCTTCAGTGCAGCAAATGCTCTGTGTGAACGGGGCCCAAATAAGCCTTTTAAATAGCATTTTTAAAATAGTTATCATACGCTTTTTCCTTCTGATCAGCAGTTCTCTCCCACACTGTCCTGCAAGTAATTTAAAAACTGTTTTTATTTATTTAAAATATTTATGGGATGTTTGTTTTATGGCAAGTTATGATGGGCTTTTCTATTCTATTTCTATTTCCAGCTTTTCTATTCATGCAAGGAGGAGGAAGAATCCTTTTTGCCTCCTAAAAATGTATGCCAGCAATTCTGGGATGCGTATGGACAAAAAGCCATGCAGGATGGAGGGGAATTGGGCACGATTGGCCTTTCTCCCTTCATACCAGTGAAAAAGCTGGTAGAATCTACCTCATAGTGGGTGCACCTAAAGTAGCTATCTGGATGATGGCTTAATAGTAATGACATCTAAAGATGAATGGGGATTGGGGGAACAAAAAAACCTTTCTTAGTTTTCTTACTACTGCAGACAGAAAGAGAATTACTAAACATCCTTTCCCCATGATCTGACTCTGGTCGTGTTTCATACATTAGGACAGTAGTAGTATTTGGCACCAAGACGCCTCAGTAGAGCAAAGTAGCAGCTTCCAAGAGATGTCTTTCAAGAGAAGGGCTGCTGTAGCCCATTGTACTGTATCTTGAGTCAACAGCAGACAACAATGTCAGGCTGCAGACCATGTAACTTTCTACATTCCCCCCCCCTTCTACTTGTTTCTCAATTGTCAGTCACACTGATCGTGTTATTATGAGTTAAATACTTACCCGTCACTTCAAATTCTAGATTTTCTACCAAGATGTTACATGGGGTAGGGTCATTCTTTCAAAGTGATCTTAGGAAATTAGGAAAGCAACTGTTTAATGGATCAGTTGTGGGATACACTGTGAGCAGTGTGAAACAAGACAGGTGCAAGTTAAGAACCAGGATTAATTGTTATAAGCAAAGGTGATGGAAAGCATTTATTTTTGTAGATGAGAAGTAAAATGTTCCTCTCTGATCAGTTACAGAGGCGTGCTAAGGTGAATTTTAATTATGACTAAATTGTGGTATTACTCTTTCATACCCTGAACATCTGTTCCCTTCAGGAATGATGATTTATGTGGGCTATCAGTAGAGACAGCTTGCTACAGCTTATGTCACGGTTTGTGGGAAGATGGGGTCGTTTTTCCAAAAATACCAGCTTTTATATGGATACCAGCCAGTGTGTTATTAAGGTAATAAGGGAAAGGGAGCACGACATGTTCGCTTTTAATTCTGAAGCCAAATATTGACTTTACCCTTTTTCTTCCAGACCATCTGTTGTTAATGAAGAACACAACTTGGACACTGAACGGTCTAGTCCTTCCTAGAGATGTCAAGAGGAGAAAAGTCAGGCCTGTGCTTGCCAAACACATGAAGAAACTTGCTGAGAAGCCAAGTATCAGGATTTTGGTATTTAAGAACTGTATGGGGCAAGATGGTTATGAAATAACAGCACCCTTGGACCACATAGAAAAGGTGAATTTGGATGTGGCAGAGCCCAAATGCACTGGAAACAGTTGATAACAATTTTGCCCTATAGTTTAAACCAATAGTATGATGAGAGATTCAGCTATAGACTGTAAAGGATTCATGCATGCCCACCCCAGAATCACCAGACAGGCACCATAGTGTACTGCAGTGTTTTGAACTGGTTTTTAATAGGGCTATTGTCTTCAGTTGCTGTGCTTTGGGATTACCTTATTTAAATTAATAAGATTGCTTCCCAATCTGAATTGTCCTGAATACAGCTTTGGAGAAGGATCTTAAGACCAATATGGGGAAAATCAGGTGATAATATGCAGCACTAGTTGCACACCCGGTGCACCAAGCAGAGGAATTTTCCAGAATTCTAGCAAATTCCGTTTTGTTAGATTCAGCTTCCCAATCTGAATTGTCCTGAATACAGCTTTGGAGAAGGATCTTAAGACCAATATGGGGAAAATCAGGTGATAATATGCAGCACTAGTTGCACACCCGGTGCACCTAGCAGAGGAATTTTCCAGAATTGTAGCAAATTCCATTTTGTTAGATTCATAGAATCAACCACGTGAGAAGGAAAGGCACAGGATTCCTTCTGACATCCTTGTGATCCATGTTGCAAAGAGTATTTCTTGTAAACTCTGCTATGTTCCCTGACAGGAGACAATCCACTTCTTCCATACTGCTTCCCAGAAATAGATCCAGGCATAGGATCTAGCTGACCCTGCCTGAGTAATTTCTTGTGTCATTGTGTACATTGGGAATCCACAGCTTTTTCTGTGCTGTGGATTGTAGCACTTTGGAAAAGAGGTGTGAGGGACAAGCTATCAACTCTGACACATAAGGATTTGTAAGAGTATATTTTTCCTGTTTGTTTTTAAATTGTGAAAGAACATAATGAAGAAAACAGTAAGATAAGGACACTGGAGGAAGAAGGGGTGATAGGGCAAGAGAACTGCAGAATGCACACAGGTGACAGAGAGTTAGAGTGTGGTGTTTGGGATAGTTGACAGATAGGTGCTTTCTTTGGTGTGCCATCTGAGAAAGGCAGGGAGATAAGAAGGAAGCAGTAGCAGGTTACCTCTCTTTTCTTTAGAGAACATTTCCTTTTTGCTTCCCTCTCCTTTCCCCTAAACAGATGCCACTAGAACTGGTATGTTAGAGATGGCTATGGTAGAGTAAACAACTCTACTGATGAGATGCAACAGCTACTGTCTTCCTTCTTATTTACCCTTATTTATCCTTTCTTATTTACCCTAACCAACATCTGAGTTTTTCTCATGAAATTTAAAAAAAGGATTAAATAGAAGACAAAGTTTGGTGTAGTGGTTAAGTGTGTGGTCTCTAATCTGGGAGAACTGGGTATGATTCCCCACTCCTCCACTAGCAGCTGCTGGATGACCTTGGGCAAGCCATAGTTCTGTCAGAGCTGTTCTCCCAGGGACAGTTCTGGAAAGAACTCTCAGCCCCACCTACCTCACAGGGTGTCTGTTGTGGGGAGGGGAAGGGAAAGGAGTTTGTAAGCCATTCTGAGACTCCTTTGGGTAGTGAAGGGCAGGGTATAAATTCAATCTCCTCCTCCTTCTCCTTCTCCTTCTCCTCCTCCTTCGAACTAACAAGACAGCACTTTTTGCAAAAGATTTTGGCAGTGGCAAAAAATAACCTGAAATTTTTCAGAGGTCACATCAGATAAGAGCCAAATGTGTTTTTCCAGTCTAATAGTGGTACACAATGCAGGAAATATCGGCCTCAGTCTCATTTGATTTTGGTTGCCACCATATTATGTTGTCACTTAGACAAATTTGATTGCTTATGTAGTATTACATTAGTCATTACATTTACTACATGATTCCTGATTGGCTGGGATAATTTGAGGAAGAAGAAAGTGGACAATTAGTACTAATGAAGCTATATGATGGTTGTGAACAACCGCAAAAAGTCATGAAGCAATGTAGACAAGGCACTTGGTGGAGGAGGATTATTACAGTGCCTCGAAAAAAAAAGCAAATGTATAAACTTCTGGCACTTTATGCTTTATTTAATTTTTAAAAGTTTTTTTTAAGTTTTGAGGGTTTAATAAGATTTCCCCCCCCCCAGTTCTTAGATACTTGCACGATGAGACTGAACCTTACTTTGCCTGCTAAGTATGTATACAATATACAAGGAGAAAAAATTGAAGATCTCATAAATGGTAAGTGAAATTTATCTTTTGTTTGATTCTTTTAAAAAAAACACAGCCTAATGAACTATCTGTATCAGCTGATTAGGAACATATAAACAAGTGTGCTGGATCAGAACAATAGTTCCTCTGGTTCAGCATCTTATTTCATTTAGTGGCTAACCAGATGCCCAAGAAGCTAGGCATGGATGCAAGACATCCACCTCTTGTTGTCCACTAGTACTTTTAAAAGAGGGTTACTGCCTCCAACGTTTGGAGATTCCCTTTAATCATAGTGGCTAATAGGTCAACCAGTGGCTATCCTCCATAAATTTGCCCAAGACATTTTAAAATTAAGTAAACTAATGAACATCACTACATTCTGTGGCAGTGAATTTCACAGGTTGTTTCTTTTTGCCTGTCCTGAATCTACCATCCATCAATTTCATTCGGTTCTTTCTAATTATATCTCCATCCAGACACAATTTTATAAACCTATATCATGTTCTGCTTTTAGTTGTCATCATAGGGAAGATGTTCCAAACCCTTCATCACTTTTATTCTGTTTGGTATCAGATGAACTGTCTACATACCTTACTGCCTCTTCAGCTTCTCCATATCAGTAAACTTTGTCTCAAGGATACATTCATGTTCCCTGGGAACCAAGAGTCAATTACACCAACGAAATGGCTATAGCTTTTGTCCAGCAGGCAGATAGTCTATGTAGTACTGTACAGTGGATAGCCCCCACCCCCCTGCTGACTGCCTCCCCTTCATTGCTGAACATGCACTGTTGCTGAACTTACTCTCTTATTACCTCTTTGAGGTGTGTGGTTACTGTGGTTATGCCACCTCTTTGCTAGGGCTGTCTTGTTCACAGAACTAGTTTTTGCATATGCAAATGTTTGAAAAATGAGAGGCTAATGGATCAAATCTTTGTACTTGTAAGCAGAGACAGTTTAAATCTATACCCCAGAAATTTATTAAATATATCTGTTGCTGTTAAAGCTTTAAGGTACATTTCTAAATGTAAATCTAATGTCAAGCAGAATTGTTCAGGTATGGTTCACAAACCTTTATAAATGTAAAATCTTACCCCCTTCCATGATCCAGAACACAATGTTGGAGCTGCCCCCAATGGAAGGACTCAAACATGAAGCAGCAGTGCTTCTGTCCAGGCAAATGACATCTTCTTCCCTTAATGTCTAAGGGCAGTTAGGTAGTGCTTAGTGGGCTCACCCTGCCTGCCTTCTACGGAAGACGAGATACAAATATTTAGGACCAGCTTTTACTACTTTCCAACTTTTCCTTTTCTCCTTGTTGCCCCCCCTTAACCTTTTGTCCAAGTACACACTTAACTATGGCAGCAAGATCTTCAGATAAAATCCAGTAAAGGAGAAAGATTCCAGTCCCATCCTTGTACTATAAGGATTTGGTCCAAAAGACTGTTTTGAGTAAGTGGCGTTTACCCCATTTCTGATTGCTCAAACAGTAAAATTCTGAATTCTGCTTTGTCACATAGTGGAATAGGGTACAGCCATACCTATGGGAATACTAACAGCAGCAAGATTTACCTATACATGGCCCGTTCTGACATTATCCTTTCCCTTAAGCTCCCCCAGCAAACTGGCGCTTTGACTGCTGATGTTCCTCCGTTTGTATAGTCAGTGTACCCCCTGCCCCCATATGTATATGTCCCCTCTCTCTCTCACACACACACAATAGATGTTGATTGATTGTTTGTTTGTAGCTTATGATTTTGCAAATTCTAACTTTTGTGGTAGTTATAATTTATTTACCTGATAAATTTATCCCACCCTTCCTCCAAGGGCCTCAGGGCAGTATATGTTACACTTGGCTCCTCAGTGGTATCCTCAAAACAATCCTATGGAGTAGGTGAGGATGAGAATGAGTGAATGGCCCAAAGTCACCCAATAAACTTCACTGGACAGTTGAGAAGTGAACCTGGGTCACCCACATCCTAGTCTAACACTAACTTCTACACCATGCTGGCATTCAAAACTTAAGCTATAAAAAACTGTTACATTGTTCTCACTGTGTGAACTCCCTGATTGAGGTTTGTGGAGGGAAGACAATACTCAGAATTACTCTTATAACTAAAATATTACCTACTGTATCTTATCAAGCAATAATATAATGCTGCCCAGACCTAGTTCTGGTTTCAGAATTTCTGTGGATTCAGCTGCTTTTAGTATTTGGAAGTCTTGGCAGTTCATCAAAAGTGTAGAATTGTAAGTGAAAACCTGTTGCAAGTGTATGATTACTCCCAGGGAGGATAGTATTGTTAATATTGTTAGTCTGATGTAAAAACAACAGTCTTGGGGCATATCAAAGACTAATTGTGGGATAAATTCATACGTACTGGGGCACACTTTATCATTATGGAAATTTATTTGTTGTAGAGTCAAGGTGGTATATTGAACCATCATGTTGGAGCTGTACTTAAAGCCATTGATCGTGATAATACTTGTCAAATATGAGTTGTTACTTGTCACAAAATATGTGGACAAGCTTTGTAATTCAAATAGCAGCTTAAGAAGCCTGGTGCCACACATTCTGTCTCTGCTTTTCATGAAGTTGATCCAGTCAAATTAAAGGACTACTAAGTAAAATTGATCTTTATGGCAGCATTGAAAATGTGCTCACATATTTTCCATTCAAATTAATGTAATTCTAAAATGCTTTAAGTGGACTTTGTCTACTGTGATTTTATTCCTAAAGGCCATCACAACATATTTGATTTTACTTCTCATGATCCTAAATATTACTCTTTCCACAACCACTTAACATGTTGAGGTAGCTATCAAAATATATTACTAACTTAGGGAAATGACCTAAGAAGGAGCTCAGGACAGATTATTCTAAAAAGACAGCAGTATGGAATTGTTGTCTGAATTGCCTGAACACATCAATGAGACCAACAGCTAAGAGTGAAAAGCAACTGGACAGTGAACTTGAAGTTAAGTTCTGTTTTTACCTTTGAAGATATTCACACATACATATTTGTGTGTGTGTGTGTGTGTGTTATTTAAAAAGTATATAGGGTGGTAGAAGCAGGAAAGAGGCATAAAGTGTATTGGAAAACTACCAAATGTCCCCTGCAAATGGACCCTATTCAGAATCAGTAAGCGTATGATGAGTGAAGTGGTTTTGAATATCGCCTTTAGATTCCATGCTGTTACAAGGCCAGCCCCGAACATGGCAACTCTTATTTCCACACACAGTACCTCTTCACTCTCAATTTAACCTAAAAATCTGATGAACCCATTACTCCATACTTGATTTCATGGAACAAGGAGTAGATATAGTTACAAATGATCAATCACAAGCCGTGAACCAAAGGAGCAAGGCATTAACAATTCACACCATTTTGGTCCACTTGCTCAAGCAGAAGATGTGCCAGCATTTTTAATGCACAGCGACTTAGCTCAGTTTTAGAAAAGGCATGACTCATGTTACATTTTAAGAATGAAAGGATTTCATGCTTACTGCCATTGAGTGTCAGAGTTCATGAACATCTAAACAATTAACATAACCAGGTATCGGATAAAGACCACAGTGGATGAGTATCTAAATTTAATTTTGCTCAAACTAAAAAAAAAAAAAAACTGACCTAAGAAATGTTTCTTCCCCAGTATGGCCATGTTCTCTTACACTGCATTGTACAAATCAGCATCTTGTTCAGCAGTATTGTAACACAGTAGACCCCACAGGCATATGTCGTCAATTTAATGGGATCAGTGAAGAAGCAAGGCAGCTGTGAAAGATTGCTTTAAGTACAGCAATCGTGTGCTTGTCATTCTGTTCAATACTGGAAAAATCCAAATTCGGGTAGGCATCAGTATTTAAGAAAATGACTGCTAAAGCATCTCTCATAAGTACCTTGGGGACAATAAGATTTGACATATAACACGTAAACAAAAGTACACAACAGCTGTTAGATTAGTTTTGTTTGAGTAAAATACGTCGGGATCATTTAAACGTAGCATGTGTTCTCTCCATCACTCCGGCTGAGTCTGCAGACCACACTTTTGAATATTGTACACCAATTTTTTTGAGCCCCAGAGTTGTATAACTTACTAAAATAGTATAAGAAGAATGTGTTTAAGTTATGGTATGGTTCGAAAGAGAACTCTTACTGTTTGTATGAATAACAAAAACTGCATAACATTTAATTTTGTTTGAAAAAAATGCTTAATCTTCAAGGTTTCTTTTATCTTTGCTAGATTCTTTTTTTGTTGTTGGTGTATTCTTGCATTTGTGTGTTTGTGCACACATGTGCCCGTGCCTAAAAGTCATGGCTACCTCTAGCAACTCCTACTGGGGCAAGGAGGACATTCAGAAAGGTGGCTTGATTTCCTGCTTCTGGGCTCCTGGCCCTGGTATTCTTTGGAGGTCTCCCATCCAAATATTTGCCAGGGTCAGCCCTGCTTAGCTTTTGAGATCTGACGAGATCAGGCTTGCCTGGGCTATTCAGGTCAAGGCTTCCTTTGTTAGATTATTAATAGTTCTTTAATATTTTATCAAGAATTTTGAAAACAATCCTTATGCATAATTTTTATTAATGCCAGTGAGAGTAACCAAAAAGGTTGATGACTGGATATATCCAGAAAAACTCCAAGCCCTGCAGTCCATGGCAGCCATTATAAATATGATTGCAGCAACTCCTCAATAATTTCTTTTAAAGGATGAAGGGGTCTCAGGCAGATTTATGGGAACTGCAAGTAGCCTACTAATTAATTAAAGTGTTGGTTCCAACCCAATATTCCTACATTGTTGTATATTCTCCAAAGGTTCTGATCAAAAATTAGAAGTTTACCCAGGGTGGAATCAGAAATGTACTTTCTCTCCCAACATATCTGGTATGTATTACAGAGACCCGGGTGAGTGAAGAGGAAGGGGTGGCTCTCTCCCTGTTTTGCCAGCTACACTTCCTTGTGTGGCGTCAGCCAAGGCTTGGTAGGTGGGGAGGGGTGGTAGCTGTGATCTATCAGACATCTGTGGCACTTTCCAGATGCTTTGTTACCCAGGGTCCCAATTTTGATTGTATGTATCTGAAGCTGGGGACTCAGGACAGAATACGAATTCTGTTGGCATCCTGCGCATCCTGCTATCCATCGGTATCCCTATCTGAGCTGATAGAGGCTATCTTGGAGTTGCCACTGAGGATGCCAAGGTTTGCTGTCCTTGGGGATGTCAATGCTCATACTGAGGCTACCCTAACAGGAGCATGTAAGAACTTCATGACTGCTATGACAACGATGACATTGTTCCAGAACTTTCTGGTGCCTATGTATACAACAGCAGGTCTTACACTTGTTTTGCTTCTCTCTGGGGATAATGTACATGGTTTGGTAATGGGAGAATTTTCCACTTTGCCCTTATCATGTACTAACCATTATCTGATGAGATTTAGACTCATGGACTCTCAGAACCTCTGCAAATATGGGAGGACAATTAGGATGGTCCACCCAAGAGGCTTATGAATCCAGAGGGGTTCCTGATGTCTCTTGGAGATTTTCTGATCAGCAAGGTTGGTGCCCGTCTTGCAAACCTAGTTGATCTGTGGGACATGAAGATGACCTGGGCTGTGGGCATGATTGCCCTGAGCGCTCTCTGTCCTCCCATGGAGTCCAGAATGCCCCTTGGTTTACTGAGGAACTTCAGATGATGAAACAGTTGACCAGGTAGTCAGAGCACCAGTGAAGAAAAACTTGAAGCAAATAGTGTCCAACAACACACTTTATGGTGATGATGACAGCAAAGCGAGCTCACTTTTCTGTCACCATTGCCATCCAGTGGAACTTTTATGGGTTTGAAGGGGCTTTTATCTCAAATTCCAGAGGATGTTGACCCATAAAACATACAAGCCTGCTGTGATTGAGACCCAGCTGAGCTCTGAGCAGGAGCAGGAGACAGAGCTGCTAGAGGGATGAGTGTTTTTTTTTTACTTGCTTTCAGCTGAGGGGATTCAGCTGAGGATATTGTGTGGGAGGACTGTGTTTGGAAGTGTGTGAAAGCGATTAGAGTTGTTGCAGAGTCCTGGCTGCTTGAGAGAGGGAGAGGAAGGGGCATTGTTGGACTGTGATTGACTGTCATTGAGAGAAAGGGGAAGGGGAAGGGGCATTGTTTTGCCTGTGATTGAGTGCCTGGGTGAATTTGAATTGCTGCTGCCCACCCTCTGCTGGGGGAGGCCTCTATTTAAGAAAGCACCTTGCCAGAGGCAGAGCAGACCCAGCTGAGCTCTGAGCAGGAGCAGGAGACAGAGCTGCTAGAGGGGCGAGTGTTGTTTTTTTACTTTCCTTCAGCTGAGGGGATTTAGCTGAGGATATTGTGTGGGAGGACTGTGTTTGGGAGTGAGAGAAAGTGATTAGAGTTGTTGCAGAGTCCTGGGTGCTTGAGAGAGGGAGAGGAAGGGGCATTGTTGGACTGTGATTGACTGTAATTCAGTATTTAAGAAAGCACCTTGCCAGCTGACCTGGAGAAGCAGAGACAGTCAGCTAGGCACACAGAAAAGACTCTCGGGGACTTGTTAGCTTCGTCCCACTCTGGATCTGGCAGCCCCGCTGCTGTCAGGGAGCATGAGGGTCTAGGGGAAACAGGGCACCATGCTGAGGATAAGGGGAATGTGCCCTCAGAAGGGACCTCTTCCCCAGCTGGTGAGCGGCTCTCCTTTTGCACCAAGGAACCATCCCTGAGCAGGGTGGGAGGGGGGCTCTTGGTAGTGGGTGATTCGATCCTTAGGCAGGTAGACAGCTGGGTGGCGAACCCGCGTACTGACCGTATGGTGACTTGCCTGCCTGGTGCGAAGGTAGCGGACATTACGCGTGTTTTAGATAGGCTGGTAGATAGTGCTGGGGAGGAGCCAGTGGTCGTGGTGCATGTCGGCACCAACGATGTGGGGAAATGCAGTCGTGAGGTCCTGGAGGAGAAATTTAGGCTGCTGGGCAGGAAACTTAGGTCCAGGACCTCCAAGGTAGCCTTCTCAGAAGTGTTACCTGTTCCACGCGCAGGGCCGGAGAGACAGGCAGAGATCAGGAGTCTCAATGCGTGGATGAGACGATGGTGTAGGGGGGAAGGGTTCAGGTTTGTTAGGCACTGGGATACTTTTTGGAACAAGAGGGAGCTGTACAGGCGAGACGGTCTCCACTTGTCCCGAGAAGGAACCAGGCTGCTGGCACTTAAAATCAAAAAGGTGGCAGAGCAGCTTTTAAACTGAATATTGGGGGAAAGCCGACAGGAGATGAAAAGTCTCTGGTTCGGGTTGGCTCATCTGAGAGAGGTGAGGGGGTACCGGTTGCTTTTCTACAGGGAGGTGGATTGAAATTGTCCACAGAGGCCATGGCTGGTGACATGGACTGCCGGACAACGACTCGAGATAGCAAGAGGAAGGATGCAGGCTTAACTTGTAAGGGAAATTACAGCTGTTTCTATACAAATGCTAGAAGTGTCCGAGGTAAAATCGGGGAGTTGGAGTGCTTGGTGTCGGAGGGAAAAATAGACATTGTGGGTATTTCTGAAACTTGGTGGGATGAGGAAAATCAGTGGGACACAGTGATTCCCGGTTATATATTATATCGGAAGGATAGGGGGGGAAGGGTTGGAGGTGGGGTAGCTCTGTATGTCAGAGAGGGTATAAAGTCTAGAAAGATTGAGAGGCTAAGTGAATTGGATTCGCTTCTGGAAGTTCTATGGGTTGAAATAGGGGGGCCAAAAGGAAACTTAACACTGGGAGTTTGTTATCGCCCACCAGATCAAAAGATAGAGGAGGATTATAAAATGATGAATGCCTTAAAGATAGCAACTAGACAAAAACACTGTGTAATAATAGGTGATTTTAACTACCCACACATTGATTGGGTCAATATGTGTTCTAGTCGGGAAAAAGAGATTGAGTTTCTAGACACTCTAAATGACTGTGCTATGGAGCAGATGGTCACGGAACCTACCAGGGGAGAGGCGATCCTTGATTTGGTCCTAAGTAACACTCAAGACCTGGTGAGAGATGTAAAAGTGATTGCACCGCTTGGAAACAGTGATCATAATGTTGTTGAGTTCATCATTTGTACAAATAGAGAATTGGCCAAAAAGACTCACACAACCATTTTTAACTTTAAAAGGGGTAATTTCTCTGATATGAGGGGACACGTGGGGAGGAAACTGAAAGGAAAAGTAGAAAGGGTCAAAACAATTGGGGAAGCTTGGGATCTATTTAAAACTACGATCCTAGAAGCTCAAAAAATATATATTCCGCAGGTTAGGAAAGGCACAAACAGGTATAGGAAAAAGCCTGCATGGTTAACAAACAGAGTAATGGAGGCTGTAAAAAGTAAAAAGAATTCCTTTAAGCAGTGGAAAGCTAGTCACAGTGAGGCTGATAAAACGGAACACAGGCTATGGCAAATAAAATGCAAGTCTGAGGTCAGGCAGGCAAAAAGGGAATATGAGGAGCATATAGCAAAAAACGTAAAAACCAACAATAAAACTTTCTTCAAATACATTAGAAACAGGAAACCAGCCAGGGAGGCAGTGGGGCCCTTGGACGACCAAGGGGTAAAAGGAGTATTGAAGGATGATAGGGAAATGGCTGAGAAGCTAAATGCATTTTTTGCCTCCGTCTTCACTGTGGAAGATGAGAAGTGCTTGCCCACTCCAGAACCACTGATTTCAGGAGGGGTGTTGGAAGACCTGAGTCAGATTGAGGTGATGAGAGAGGAGGTCCTAAAACTGATAGACAACTTAAAAACTGAAAAATCACCAGGCCCAGATGGCATACATCCGAGAGTTCTGAAAGAACTCAAATGTGAACTTGTAGATCTCCTGACAAAGATATGTAATCTTTCCTTAAAATCTGCCTCCATTCCTGAGGATTGGAAGGTAGCTAATGTCACTCCCATCTTTAAAAAGGGTTCCAGAGGAGATCCGGGAAATTACAGGCCTGTCAGTCTGACGTCGATACCGGGTAAATTGGTGGAAACCATTATTAAGGAAAGAATTAGTAGGCACATAGATGAACAAAACCTATTGAGGCAGACTCAGCACGGTTTCTGTAAGGGAAGATCTTGTCTCACTAACCTGTTAGTGTTCTTTGAGGGGGTGAACAAACATGTGGACAAGGGGGATCCAATAGATATTGTTTACCTTGACTTCCAGAAAGCTTTTGATAAAGTTCCTCATCAAAGGCTCCTAAGTAAGCTCAAAAATCATGGGATAGAAGGACAAGTCCTTTTATGGATCAAAAACTGGCTAGTTCATAGAAAACAGAGAGTGAGTGTAGGTGGGCAATTTTCTCAGTGGAGGGTGGTAAGCAGTGGGGTACCGCAGGGATCAGTACTTGGTCCACTGCTTTTTAACTTGTTCATTAATGATTTGGAGATGGGAGTAAGCAGTGAAGTGGCTAAATTTGCGGATGATACAAAGTTGTTCAGGGTGGTGAAAACCAGTGAGGATTGTGAGGCACTCCAAGGGGATCTGTCAAGGATGGGCGAGTGGGCGTCAACATGGCAAATGGGGTTCAATGTGGCCAAGTGCAAGGTGATGCACATTGGAGCCAAAAATCCTAACTATAAATACACGTTGATGGGGTCTGAACTGGCAGAGACTGATCAAGAGAGAGATCTTGGAGTTGTAGTGGATAACTCACTGAAAATGTCGAGACAGTGTGTGACTGCAATA